CACTTTTGTTAATGTAGATTGTATACAACTTCTGTTAATGTAGCATAGACCTTTTGTTAATGTACAATAGCACTTTTTTAATGTAGCATAGACCTTTTGTTAATGTACAATAGCACTTTTTTAATGTACAATAGCACTTTTGTTAATGTACAATAGCAATTCTGTTAATTTACAATAGCACTTTTGTTAATTTACAATAGCACTTTTGTTAATGTACAATAGCACTTTTGTTAATGTACAATAGCACTTTTGTTAATGTACAATAGCACTTTTGTTAATGTACAGTAGCACTTTTGTTAATGTACAATAGCACTTCTGTTAATGTACAATATCACTTCTGTTAATGTGCAATAGCAATTCTGTTAATGTACAAAAGCACTTTTGTTAATGTACAAAAGCACTTTTGTTAATGTACAATAACAATTCTGTTAATGTACAATAGCAATTATGGTAATGTACAATAGCAATTCTGTTAATGTACAATAGAACTTTTGAAGATATCCTAGTAAAGGAATGTTGGAGTAGATTAGTTTCTTCGATACTGACCTGCTAATGCTCATTGTAAGAAATGTGCTTTTCGAATTCTGTGAGATAATTGAAACTTTTTTGCATATCTAAGATGCGTATATATATATATGTGTGTGTGTATTTTACACATTTATATTGTTGCTAACCATTAAGATTACTAACATTACTATAATTCATCTAGGACATCCCCATGACATCTCTGTGATGAAGCCAAACAAATGCACAATCGTGAAGAAGGCAGCTCTTTCTCTTCATTCAGCAGTGCTGGGGAAGAGATCTTTGTTATTATAGTAAGGTTTTTAAGTTATATATCACCAGAAATCTTTGTTATTTTAGTAAGGATTTCAAGTTATATATCACCAGAAATCTTTGCTATTCTAGTAAGGTTTTTAAGTTATATATCACCAGAAATCTTTGCTATTCTAGTAAGGTTTTTTACGTCATATATCACCAGAGATCTTTGTTATTTTAGTAAGGTTTTTAAGTTATATATCACCAGAAATCTTTGTTATTTTAGTAAGGTTTTTAAGTCATATATCACCAGAGATCTTTGCTATTCTAGTAAGGTTTTTAAGTTATATATCACCAGAGATTATTGTTATTTTAGTAAGGTTTTTAATTCCTATATCATCAGAGATCTTTGTTATTTTAGTAAGGTTTTTAAGTCTTATATCACCAGAGATCTTTGTTATTTTAGTAAGGTTTTTAAGTCTTATATCACCAGAGATCTTTGTTATTTTAGTAAGGTTTTTAAGTCCTATATCATCAGAGATCTTTGTTATTTTAGTAAGGTTTTTAAGTCCACATCAACAGAGATGTTTGTTATTATAGTAAGGTTTTTAAGACCTATATCAACAGAGGTCTTTGTTGTGAATGTGAAACCCAAAGCAATAGCACGAAGGTAGTAATTTTTCAGTCAGTAGTTGTCTGTGAGACTTTCACGTACTGAATAACCATATAAATTAAAGTATTTTATCTTTCATCATTTGTTGTTCTTATTAGCATAGATGAGATTGTTGAAACATTGTTCAGGAATAAGAGATTATAACACTAATTTATTCCTGAACAATGTTTCAACGAGATTATAACACTAACGTACTTGTAGACTTCTATTATGGAAAAGATCACAAATGAAATAAATAATCTTAATTATTTTCAAACTTTTTAAATCACTTAGAAAATTATCAGTATTAATCAAAGGTGAGCTCATACACAAATCATTGTGGAATTTGTGATTTTGTTTAATCACCTGATAAGTAGACCTAATTAGCAAGAAGTTACATGTATACATGTAGCTGCTACATTTTCATGTTAACAATGTTACCCAAGATATAACATCAATAATGTGGTATTTTTTTAATTTGTATGGATCAAGGAATTGATAGTGGAAGGCACATCATGTTTTGGTTAAGGATTATAAATAAATCATTTTCATTCAAACACGGTCATCTTTATGTACATATAGATTTACGTAGTTATACAGTTTTGGTTTGCCTAACATTCCAAACTTTGAGTAATATCTCCTTTCTTTTATGTGTGATATACTGTATACATTTATAAAGTAATCTCTGAGAGAGATCTGATTACATTTTATTATTCTCTGAGAGAGATCTGATTACATTTTATCTGTGTTAGCCAATTAAAATTTTAAATTATTTTGCACAAAACTTGAATTGGATGAGAGGTAGTTTTCGTTTAGAAATTGTATATAACCCCAAGTAGCTATGCATAAGTCCCTCCCATGGGACAGTGGTAAGTCTTCGGATTTACAGTGATAAAATCAGGGGTTTGATTCCTCTTGGTGGACACAGCAGATGGCCCAATGTGGCTTTGCTATAAGAAAACACACAGCTTTGCATAACACGTACATGTGAGTTCTTTCAAAATATACTGGTTCTTCTTTAGTTGGAAAGATTTTACAGATAGTGTTAATTTTCTGATAAGGAAACAGATCATATTATGCGCACACTTTTCAGATTTTTTGTTATATATATATATATTTTTTTTTCATTATAATGCACTCCATTTCTTTCTTTTATAAACCTCTATTTGGGTTGTTTTGTGTTTTATTATAATTTCTGTGTGAGTTGCTGTGTGAATTTTAAGTGTTGCATGTTATTGTGAAATTAATTTTCCTCTTCATGAAATGATAGTTTAAATTATTGATCTGCTTTAGAAATAAAAAAAGAGAGAATTAATTTCAGAATTTTGAATTTTTGTGATAGAAACCAAAACATTTGTCATTCAACTTATTTCAGTAAATATTTTTCTTTGAGCTTCAAGGTATCAATTAGATGTCAGTCCATAACTGAATCGGGCAGAAATCGGGATAAATCGCACATTATACTGTGGTTTCATAAAAACTAGGTGGATTGTAATATTGGGTTACACATAACAGTTTGAACTTCTCTCTCACAATTTTGGTTGACTGGCTGTAAATCATGGAAAAAAATAACAACAAAAAAGCGAACACTGAGAGCCAAAATTCGTAAGTTAATCTAGATTAAAAACTGTTCCTCTACTTTAACTAATTTTGCAATTTTTTTAGCCTTAAAGAGAGAGTATTCTTGTTGAAATTAAAAAAACTTGCATGAAAAACTGCTTTCAGATTTTTGCTTTGAAGTAAACATATTCTTATATTATATTATATATTATATTTTTGTAGTCTTCAATACTTTTAATATAGTGTTTAATTACATAAATATTGTGTAATATTTTTAATTTATCTCTATGCTTAAATATTCATGATCAGTCTTCTCCTGGTTTTCTTCTCTTGAGCCTCCTGCTTTCCTAATCTTCTTTGTTCTCATATTAAACCTAACTTTAAGATATTTAAAAAGTTAATAGTGGGCTTATACAGATTATATTTCTTACTGTGATCTTATACAGACTGTGTCTTATCATGATGTTATACAGATTAATTGACTTATCATGATGTTATACAGATTATTTAACTTATGATCTTATAGACTGTCTTATCATGATTTTATACAGATTAATTGACTTATCATGATGTTATACAGATTATTTGTCTTATGATCTTATAGACTGTCTTATCATGATGTTATACAGATTATTTAACTTATGATCTTATAGACTGTCTTATCATGATGTTATACAGATTTTGACTTATGATCTTATAGACTGTCTTATCGTGATGTTATACAGATTATTTAACTTATCATGATGTTATACAGATTTTGACTTATGATCTTATAGACTGTCTTATCGTGATGTTATACAGATTTTGACTTATGATCTTATAGACTGTCTTATTGTGATGTTATACAGATTATTTAACTTATGATCTTATAGACTGTCTTATCATGATGTTATACAGATTATTTGACTTATCATGATGTTATACAGATTATTTGTAATCATGTAGTATATTATTTGTCTAGTTGTAAAATGGCTGCATCAAAACACTGATTCATGAACATAGGTTTGTTACCATGGAGATTGCATATGTTTATTCTTGAAAGATCATCTCAAGATCTGACTTGTACAGGAACACTGGTCCGTGAATATTATTTTGTTACCTTAGATATAACATGTTTCTTGTTTAAAAAGAGTATTATCTGAAGAACTAACCTGTGATATATTTTTTGAGCTTTAGGGTTCTATTTTCTCTGTGTCTGCTTTACTTGTCTCAGGTTTAACATAAGTCTGTTCCCATAGCATTTAGAAACTGTTTTAGTTAGTGGACATAAAAAAGATTTATAATTATTTTGGTGTGTAAATTGAAGTTCTTTAGGTTGTATGACAACGCTCTTGTGGTGTCACAGACACCTGTGTATTTTGGTTTGGAAATCATGTAATTAATGGTGGGGGCTGATCAGATTATAATGCGTCAGGTTTAAAATAAATCTCTTCACACGTAGAATAAGTTGAAACTTTTCACCAGTAGAGAACAAGTATTCCTATATCTTTTGGCAAATGTATTTTATCTGAGAATTAGTTGGAAAAGTAGGTTGTCTGAGAAAGTGTTCTTTGCATAAAATGCACCTGTGTAAAACATAGAATTGAAGCGTGATTGACAAGTCTGCATTATTGTTATTTAAATGAAATGGGTTTATTTCTGAGAAAGTATTGTGTATGCTGAAAATAAATTGGATTTGTGACTGAGAAGGTACTGTAGTTGTTTCTACCATTATTAGTTGTGACTGAGAAGGTACTGTAGTTGTTTCTACCATTATTAGTTGTGTTTCAGTAGTAC